ATAAACGGAGAGACCGTTTGCATTTTAACGCGATTACTACCACAACATTATTGCTGCTACTTCATGGATGTGGTCACTGTCTGTAGGCAAAATCTTCACATAATCTGCAGGTAGAGGATGACCCATGGTCATGGATCTATAACAGGGATGACCCATGGTCATGGATCTATAACAGGGATGACCCATGGTCATGGATCTATAACAGGGATGACTAGAGACCGTTCCAGACAGCAACACATACGAGTTTTCAACTGCACATGCGCAGTTGAAAACTCGTAATTTTGACTTTTAAAGTCAAAATTTTGACTTTTAAAGTCGAAATTTTGACTTTTAAAGTCGAAATTTTGACTTTTAAAAGTCGAAATTTTGACTTTTAAAGTCGAAATTTTGACTTTTAAAAGTCGAAATTTTGACTTTTAAAGTCGAAATTTTGACTTTTAAAGTCAAAATTTTGACTTTCTGTAGGCTTTTTTTTTTTTTTTACATGGCGGAAACGGGCTTCCATATGTGACAGACAACACACACACAAGTCAGTCACAGTGGACTCTGGCTCCCCCCTCTGAAGCATTCAACACGGCTCTGAGAGGGGAAGTTGAGCGCCAAAACAAAACACAGGGGAGCAGGAATTTCAAAATAAAACGTCAAAATAATAAAATTCACACAATATTACATGTTAAAATAAAATACAACCAAATATTAAACAAAAAAAATATAAAGAGCATTTCTATATCCGTTACACAAGGATTTAAATTAATCCAATCAGGAACCTGCAGGGGGCGGGGCTAACTGGCACTTGGTTTTAACAGACATCTCTCCATCTTCACAACTTGAAAAGAAAATGGCCGTTACTTTAACCAACACTACAGTCTTTCACAGTCAAAGAAACGTTCCACAGAAACATCCAGGCCAAGTATGAAATAAGAGATGTGAGAGATGTTGGCCCCAAAACCAAAAACACGCTTTCATGATAAACCTTCAGATAAAGAGGCTTAGAAAACATATTTACTTTTAAAGCCAAGTCTCTCTTTTTATATGTATTTATTTGTATTTTCAGTTCATTCAGGGGTGAAGCTTGATGGCCTGCAGTGGTTTTTGAACATTTTATACAAAGCACCACGCAAGAAAATACCTATGTCTAAATATTTATTCCTCTGGGAATATAAAAAACCTTCACTATGTTTGAACCAGGTCTGGACTTTACTTTTCTGGATATAAACAAGAGCTTAACGCTGGGGTACCTAACTTTGTCTCCATAAAGTATATTGTTCTTCCTCAATAGAAAGATTAGTATATTATCTGAACAAAACAGACCACTGCTGCTGCTGTTTTTGTCTCATGTTATCTGCAAGTATGATTTAACTAAATAAAACCAGGGTATCGGGATGATAATCAAAACTAAAAACAGGAACAAGACGTAGGGAAAGACAATGGACTGATTACATGGGGAGAGGGAGCACAGGGGATAAATAGGCAAACTGAGACACAGGTGAAATACATGTGGGAGAGGAGGGGGATCAACACAGTTACAGGAAATGAAACTGAAAGGACAAAGAATGACCAAAATAAAAGAAGTCATGCTCAGTCAAGAGGCAAAGCTCTCAATTTTTCCAGTCAATCTTTGTTCCCTCCCTCACCTATGGTCATGAGCTTTGGGTAATGACCGAAAGAACGAGATCGCGGATACAAGCGGTCGAAATGAGCTTCCTCCGCAGAGTGGCTGCTCCCTTAGAGAAAGGGTGAGGAGCTCAGTCACATGGGAGGAGCTCGGAGTAGAGCCGCTGCTTCTCCACGTTGAGAGGAACCAGTTGAGGTGGCTCGGGCATCTGTTCCGGGCACGTCCCACCGGGAAGAGACCAGGGGAAGACCCAGGACATGCTGGAGGGACTGTGTCCCGACCCGGCAACGGATAAAGCAGAAGAGTTAGACGCTTTGGACTTAGAGCTTTTGAACTGAAGGCTTTAACTCGCTCCTAAATAGAGTGACCAATATTTCAAATGTGTATTTCAATAAACCCACACATCGGTAACCCACAAGTGGTTCACTGGAGGGTCTTAAATTAAGATTTTAAGAAAGTTTAACAAGATTTCTCTCATCACAAAACTAAACTTTGGTAAGATGTACTGTATGTAGCACCAGGAGCTTGAGTAAACGTTTGAGAAGATAGAAAGATAAATCAGAATAAATGCTTTTACATGGCTTTTAAAACAAACCACACCAGAATCACTAATCAGTGGATCTGGTGATTCTGGTCCCACAGTTTGAGAATCGTCAGACTAATGTTGGTAAATGGCTGTGAGCTCACATTCTTTAGCAGGCTGATGATGTGGAACACATTGAGAGCGGGTGAAGCTGGTTAGAGTCACCAGCAGCAGAGCCGTGAAGGAGAACCGCCTCAGACTCCGTTTGTAATGAAGAGGAGTCAGATTCTGGTGGAAAATATAAAGGTTCTAATCTCCATAATCTACCATTTTGTGAAGGGGTTAAAGGGTAATTTATCCTATTAGTCATGTTTGATACTTGGTTGGGGAAAATGTCCAGGTTTCCCTTAAGTTCTTAAACTCAAACTCACATGGTACTTTACCAGTGAGATTAGCTCCACATGGTACTTTACCAGTGAGATTAGCTCCACGCGGTGAGTTCTGGCGCCCGGATCACAGACTTTCTGATTGGTGAAACGGTGGAGGGCGGGGCATCCAAATGAAAACAATAACAAGATTTAGAGGCTGGAAAAGTAATTTAGAAATTCAAATATCTCTGAACGACTGGTATCAGTTAAAGAAGTATTGGAAAAGAGCAGATCATTATTATGACAGATTAGGGCCCTTTAATGATGATAGATTAGGGCCCTTTAATGATGACAGATTAGGGCCCTTTAATGATGACAGATTAGGGCCCTTTAATGACGACAGATTAGGGCCCTTTAATGACGACAGATTAGGGCCCTTTAATGATGACAGATCAGGGCCCTTTAATGATGACAGATTAGGGCCCTTTAATGACGACAGATTAGGGCCCTTTAATGACGACAGATTAGGGCCCTTTAATGATGACAGGTTATGATATTAGGCCCTTTAATGATGATATATTAGGGCCCTTTAAAGATGACAGATTAGGGCCCTTTAATGACGACAGATTAGGGCCCTTAAATGACGACAGATTAGGGCCCTTTCATGACGACAGATTAGGGCCCTTTAATGACAACAGATTAGGGCCCTTTAATGATGACAGATTAGGCCCTTTAATGATGACTTGACATAAAAATCTTACATATTGCTACTTTAAATAAAGGTAAAATAATATATATATATATATTACTGTGCTTTTGGTGCTACTCGTGTATAATCAACACATAAGTCATTTCAGAATGCGTTATTTATGTCAGTATTTTGAACCATGCACAAGTGGATATTCAATTCAATGAACTTTATTTGTATTTGTAATTATTGTTTATTTTTACAGACATTTGCATTACTTGGACATTTTTTCTATCATCTTATCATTTCTCCTGACCTTTATGGAGCCCAGGTTAGCAGCAGCACGTGTAGCCCAAACCCTGCATCATAATTGCATAGTTTTTGTTTTCTCGGTGGAGTCCAGTCCTGCTCTGGTCCAGACTCTGCTGTTCTAGTCTCTGTTTGTCTTAAGTCAGCTCTGCTCTGCTTTGACAGGTATTTTATCAGACTATTTTCAAGTCATCAAACTTGTGTGACGCCTTGACCAGGAGGTGGCTGGAGCCCAGACTGTGCAGTGCCCTCTTCGTCCTCTGCCCACATCCATCCATCACCAGCTTCCTCTCTCTCTGCAGTGTCTCTGGTCCTGATAAATGGCCGTCGCTCTCCTTCAGCCTGTTACTGCGGCGTCAGACTCAACTATCTGCTTGTACGGATCTGTTTCACGCCACCGCTGTCCATTTAATATCAAACCTACGAATGTGCTCTGATAAAAGGCCAGTGTTGTTCAAACTGCAGCGCTTCACAGATGATGATAATGGAAAATGTGATAGAAGTTCATTGACTGTGATTGAACCTCCTGAAGTGGGGAATCTTTAAAACTTTGTTAAGTCCAGGCAGCAGCAGTTCCCAATATTCAATAACGGGGATTTAAATGTACATATTAACATTGGCTCTTTATTCAGATATTTACTTTCAAAAGGGAAAAAAAACGTATTGGTTTACATAAAGATTTTCTCAAATTCTCCCACAGTGGGGAAATGTCAATGTTGCAGCGCACAGACAGGACAGTAGTAAGAGACACAGGGAGCACACACAATATACAAAGTAAGTAATATCTATGTTTCTTAGCTTTTAATGCTGTAAATGCTTCCATACCAGTCCTTCAAAAAACAAAGTATAGATATATATGTGTAGTGAGTTATATACTGTACATATAGGACAGAGTTATATACTGTAAATATAGAGTAGGAGTTATATACTGTACATATAGACAGGAGTTATATACTGTACATATAGACAGGAGTTATATACTGTACATATAGACAGGAGTTATATACTGTACATATAGGACAGGAGTTATATACTGTACATATAGGACAGAGTTATATACTGTACATATAGGACAGAGTTATATACTGTACATATAGGACAGGAGTTATATACTGTACATATAGACAGGAGTTATATACTGTACATATAGACAGGAGTTATATACTGTACATATAGACAGGAGTTATATACTGTACATATAGGACAGAGTTATATACTGTACATATAGACAGGAGTTATATACTGTACATATAGGACAGGAGTTATATACTGTACATATAGGACAGAGTTATATACTGTACATATAGACAGGAGTTATATACTGTACATATAGGACAGGAAAAAAAAAAAGCTCAGGTTCCGGTGTCATGGCGGCAGCATAGACGGCCACGTCCACGTCCTCTCTCTTCAAACTGAGAAACCGAAACTTTCCTGATGTGACTAAAGTGTCACAACTGGCAAATATAAGCAAACGGCAAACCGTGTCTGCATACGCCTATGCGCCGAACAAGAAAGGATACAGCAGCTAAACAAGCCATCGCGTCCGAGATGACCCAGGAACTTGGCGTGGATAACACAGCCCTCGCAAAGACTATCGAGGAGATCATGTCCAAGTATTTTGAAGAAGCGGACGAGAAATCGGAAGCTCGAAGTAACAGACTCGTAAAACGGCTCGACAACATGCATGCCACCCTTTCTCGACACACGGAAGACATTAAGGCTCTGCGCTCAGATACCACGCAACTGCAAGAGCGTGCTTCTGGAACCGAGATGCAGTTACAATCCCTCTCCGAAAAAATTGTGGAGATGGAGGATCGTTCGAGAAGAGACAACCTGCTCGTCTCCAACCTCAAGGAAGGGGTGGAGGGCTCTAACATGGTCTCCTACCTGACGGAGAACGTCCCACGCTGATTTCCTGCCTTTGCGCGCGGCGCGCCAGGCTCGCCAAACAACCCAGAGATAATGAGGGCGCATCGGCTTGGCCCAGCACCATCGAGGACCACTCCAAATCCACGCCCGCGCCCGGTTATCATCAAGCTACTACGCTACACCGACAGGGATCTCTTGCTGAAAGAAGCTCGTAAGAAAGTCCCAGAAGTGTCGGGAGTGCAACTCAAATTTGCAGCGGATTATAGCGAGGCAACAGCCAAACGTCGAAGACCGTGCTATAATATAATGCACGAGGCCCGGGCACAAGGTTCCAGTGCCTTTCTTCTGTATCCAGCAACCATAAAGCTATCCCGGGACCACGACAGCTACACGTTCAGCGAGCCAGGTGAGGCCGAAAAGTTTGTGGCTGCTTACAAAGCTGAGAACGGGTGATGTTAAAAGAACAGGATCTAAACCGCTTCAGACTGCTCTATGAATAACTACTAAGTTTGCTGATATGCAGGTTAGCAGGCTTCTCTGTCCCTGGAAGCCTGTATGCCTTATTTTGCCTTTGTTTATCTACTTTTTATTTTATTTGTTAATTATTATTATTACTGCTCCTACCCTGAGGGCATAGGCAGTGTCAGAGGTTATCGATGTTTAAGTTCTACAAATAAAATGTACCATAATTTTTTATTTTTTATTTACTCCTATAGCTTAGCAATCAGCAACATATTTAGGGCGAACAAATAATAAATAATGTCACAATGTCACATATATTTATTCATATTCTTTGAGTAGGTTTTTTATTTCCCTTAGCTATTAATGAAGAGAGAGGGAGGACTAGGCTCTGCCCATGGTTCACTGGTATATTAGTATGGGGAATGGGGTCAATGGGTCTTCTTTTTTTTTTTTTTTTTTTAATCTTTTTTTTTTCTGTTGTTTCCTTTTTTTCCTTTTTTTTTTTTTGTGTGTGTGCGCGTGTGTGTGTGTGTGTGGGGGGGTGTGTGGGTGTGTGGGTGGAAGCGGGGGGTGGGATGTCCAGGCATAGGTGCACTATGTTATATTTTCCAAAATGTTATCATTATGAATGGATAAAATAAATGTACTTTCATTGAATGCCCGTGGGTTGAACTCTCCACAAAAACGTGCTAGTGTCTTAGATCTGCTACATAGGAAGAACATCCACTTTGCATTTATTCAAGAGTCACACTTCCAAGAAGCTGATACATACAGGTTCAACAATAAGCATTATGAGGTGACCGCGTCCTCCTGTTACACTAAAAAAAGCAAAGGTGTTCTCATAGCCATTAGGCGTAATTTATCATATATTAATCTAGGTACAGGAGGAAGCGGTGATGGCCGAATCACTTATTGTAAAATTTCTTACAATGGCATTAAAATCGCATTGATCTGTGTTTATGCTCCAAATAATTTTGACAAAACTTTTTTTGATTCTTTAGAAGCTATTTTACTAGATCTCCTTGACTATCAGCTTCTTATAGGTGGAGACTTCAATGCCGCGCGTTTACATCAAGAAGACAGGACAGGGCCAAACGAAAGCTATGATCAAAAACTTGCCTCCAGCGCACTACAAAAAATGACAAGCGATTTTAATCTTATTGATTCTTGGCGTCTTATGAACCCTTCTTCCAGGGAATTCTCCTATTACTCATCACGGCACAAAACCTTTTCCAGGATCGACTATATATTTGTCTCCAAACCACTGTTTCAGTTAATTTACGAAACGGATATGATTCCTTTTCCACTATCAGACCATAGAGCTGTGTCATGCTCACTCAAAGTCAAAACCGGACAGGCTAAGGCATCTCGCTGGCGTTTTAATACCACTTTACTCCAGAACGATGATTTCAAAAATGAACTCAAACAAGAATTGGACTTCTTTATAAATATAAATAAACCTTCAGTGGAGGATCCAAGAATTCTGTGGGAAGCAGTCAAAGGATGTATCAGGAATAAAACTATTTCATTTGCTTCTAGACTTAACAAAGCAAAGAACAATAGGATTAGTTTATTAGAAACCAATATAGTTCGAACAGAACAACAAATGCTAATTCAACCAACACCCGAAAACACTATAAAACGTCAGGAATTATTAGAGGAACTGAATCAATTGCTGAGACAGAAAGCTGAATTTCAGATTCATCGCACTCGCCAAAAGCATTATTTAAACGATGCCCGACCAAGCCGCCTCTTAGCCCTTAAAATCAGAAATAGTGAGCAGCTTGCAAATATACCTGCAGTCACGACAGAGGAGGGCACTATAACTTCTGACCCCGCCGGCATAAATAACACGTTTAAAAAATTCTATCAAAAACTTTATGCCTCAGAAGCCACCTACAACAGCGAAACCTGCTGTAACTTTTTAAACTCCCTCCACTTACCCAAAATCTCATCTGAAAGCGCTAGCTTACTCGAAAAGCCAATCACCTTAAAAGAATTAACCCAAGCAATAAACTGCATGAATAAAGGCAAGTCCCCGGGTCTGGATGGTATTCCTCCAGAGCTATATTCAGTTTTCTGGTCTCAGCTTGGCCCACTTCTTCTAGATATGATTAATTTTTCAATCTCCCAAGGTTCCTTTACAGACAGCAGCAATGTAGCTATCATAACCTTACTGTTAAAGAAAGACAAGCCGCCTACCGAATGTGCCTCCTACCGACCCTTGAGCCTCTTGAACACTGAACTTAAAGCCTATGCCAAAGTTTTGACAATGAGATTAGAGCACATCATGACAAGTCTTGTACATCACGACCAAACAGGGTTCATAAAGTCACGTTTGGCCTCTGATAACGCGCGCCGGTTACTCCATATTTTAGATTCATCTTCCAAGTCCACAGCGTCAAACGCAATTCTCTCGCTTGATGCAGAGAAAGCGTTCGACCGCCTAGAGTGGGAGTATTTGTGGTCAGTACTTCAGCATATGGGCTTCAGCGAGGGGTTAATCTCTATGATTAAGACATTATACGCCAACCCCACAGCAGTAGTGATAACAGGCAATACCTGCACCTCTAGATTTAAAGTATCTCGCTCTTCTAGACAAGGCTGCCCACTGTCTCCGTTCCTATTCTGCCTATCGCTGGAGCCCATTGCTCAATTTATCAGGCAATCAGAAAATCTGGCACCAATAATGGTCCACAACACCCCCCATCATATTTCCCTTTACGCCGACGACATTTTAATTTATACAAGCAATCCACACATATCAATACCATTCCTTCTTCAATCTTTCGAACAGTTCGGAAAAATGTCAGGTTATAAGGTGAATTGGACAAAATCAGCAGTTATGCCATTGAATAGAACCACAACCAACTTGGAATCTTTTAATATTCCCGTGGTTGAAAGTTTCAAGTATCTGGGCATCTCCATATACCCGGCAGTGAACACTTTAATCAACAATAATTATAATAAAACATTGCATTCTATTACAAACGACCTAAATAGATGGGGCTCACTCCCAATATCCTTTCAATCTCGCCTTTCTATCATAAAAATGAATGTTCTACCGCGCATTAATTTCTTTAACTCCATGCTCCCTTTGGCCCCTCCAAAAGGATATTGGAAAAAACTACATGCCATCATAGGTTCCTACTTATGGAATTGGAAAAAACCAAGAATAAAAACCTCAACATTATACCGGCTTAAATCATCAGGTGGCATTAACCTCCCAAACTTCGAATGGTATTCATGGTGTTTTGCCCTACGTTCACTTTCTCTTTGGTTAAAACCAGACACACTCACATCATGGAAACCAATCGAAGAACAGTTACTTAAGCCCCATGACATGTCATGCTTTTTATACTCTAATATACCACTAAAGATAGTAAAAAACAAATGTGGTCCAATTATCTCTCACCTCATCTCCGTTTGGTATAAAGTCAATAAATTCATGAAAATAAAAAACAATTATTATCAACAATCTCCAATTTTCCATAATTATGCATTGCTAATAGGCAAAAAAATAGCCTCCTTCTCTCCATGGGAACGCCAAGGGGTCCACACGCTCGGGAAAATAACAGACCAAAACGGACTAAGAGAATTCAAAGACCTGCAGGAAAATCACAAATTACCTGCAACGTCATTTTTTTTTTACTTGCAAATACGAGCAGCGATGCGTGCCCATGGCGTCCCATGGGGATGTCGCTTAGAAAATCATCCCCTCCATACCACTTTGTGTAAGGAAAAAAACAATGGCCTTGTTTCAGATCTCTATATACTTGTCACTAAAGCCTCTTACAAACAATTGCCTATTGAACACTTCTGGAAAACAGAGCTAAAAGATCATTCTGAGTGGAACTGGACAAATATTTGGTCCAATGTATCTCTGTCTTCGAGAAACCCAAACCACCAAATGATCCACTACAAGTTTATTCATAGGGCTTATCTCTATCCTAGGAGATTGCACCTGATGAAACTTAAGGACAATCCTTATTGTGACTTCTGTTCAGACAAGGTCATTGGGACTTTTCTTCACATGGTATGGGAGTGCCCCCAGGTTCACTGTTTTTGGGAAAATGTTGCTGGTGCTCTGTCAAACCTAATGGAAAGAGAATTGCCCTACACTCAGAGGTTACTCTTACTGAATGAGACTTCCAATCTTAAATTAAATATTAATGAACGCCGCCAAATTCTAGCTGGTCTCACAGCTGCTAAAAAGATGATAGCATGTCGATGGAAACTTAGACAAACCCTGAGTGTGGAGCAATGGCTCTCATCATTTAAAGACATTGTCCAGATGGAGCTTTCAGCAGCCCGGATCCACGGCGCCAAAAGCGAAAATATCTCATGTTGGTCAAATCTGTTACATAAAATGCAGCTACTGTGTGAAACTTGATTGCAAATGCTTTGATTGTACGTAATAACTATGAATGTACAGTACATAACGATATGTATTCCAAATACAGTGTAAATGTTACATAACTATATGTATCCAAAGCTATTTCTGTAGATGTCACTGACGGAGGAAATTAGCAAATATGTTTGTTCTGTCTATCACTCTTGACTACCAAGACTTGTGTTTGTTTTCTTTTTGCCTTTTGCTTTTAATTTTTTGTTACCATGCCTGGACAGTAGGGGTGGGACATGGGGGTGTGAGTGAGTGTGTGAGTGTGTAGTATCTAAGTGTGGTATTGTTTTATTGTATCTTTATTTCCTTAAAATTCACATGAACATGTATTGTGCATTTCTGCTCATACTAAAAGACCCATTAACACAAAGGGTGAGGGGGGGAAAAAATATAAAAAAAATCTGTGCTGCATATGAAATTGTTATGTAAAACTTATAACCCGCACAACCCAATAAAAATTTGATCACAAAAAAAAAGGACAGGAGTTATATACTGTACATATAGGACAGAGTTATATACTGTAAATATAGAGTAGGAGTTATATACTGTACATATAGGACAGAGTTATATACTGTACATATAGACA